CAGAAATCCATTCACCTCGACAATCGCCTCGCAGAACACGCATTCGATCGCAGAGAGCGTCCCCCACGCGGAGACTCGGACGGGACAGACTCGGCGCCCGTTCTCGCTCATCCAGCGCGCGAAATCGAAACACTTCCTTTCTCCCACGAGAGTAACTCCTTACCGCACGACACTCCTCCCGTGGATTTACCGTATTCTAGTGCGAAAGAGGCAGGAGTAGTGAAATTTTTTCCCCATTTTAAGTTCGACTCGAACGATCGGCAACTGTACGTGAATGACGCTTCTCTCCAGCAAATTTGCTTAAAATGTATTGCTCTGCGATTCTGCCAGTCGAGAGTACAGGAGCCCCTGAAATATGGGCAATCATCGAATGCAGTCACCTTTCATATAGCAATGTATGATTCTATTCGGTCTCGTCGCTGTTTGCTATCGTGCGGAAAAAAAAAGGCGACCGTTTCGGAATGGAATCTGAAACAACCATTAATTCTGGTCGCGCAGACCGACCATGCGCAGACCTCGAAACGACGAGAATCCAGCCGGAAGAGGATAAACTCCGCGTTGCGTACGTAAGAGGCCCAGAGGCGTGACGTCATTCCGAGTTCCTCCCCCCCATAATTAATGGTTGCTTCGGATTCGATTATGAAATGGCTCGACCGCGAACAACGGCGGGACCGAACAATCATGCATCATCATTACCACGATCGTTACCGATCGTTGTCCCACGCCCTGTCAGCAGGAAAGTAAGCGGCTTTCGGGGTCCTCTGAGAATTTCCTCTTCGAGCCGTAACGATCAGAAAATTACTCGGGTGGAAAAAAAAAAATTAACCAGCTGTCACGAGTTGATGTTCATGCTGATGGCTTAAAAGTTCAAATATCTCTGACGTGTGAGTGTCGGAAGAGAGTCTCGATTTTGGCTTTCATACCCGGCACTGCAGAGATTGATTTTGCCACCGAATCTAAAACGAAGTCGTCGATGGTTTTAAGAGCGAATTCCGATAATAATAATTTAAAAAAAAGTGCACTACTTGCGTTAATGAAAAAGGTTTGTGACTAGACGCCGTCCGTTCCCTGTGGAACGTACCCGTTCAACTCTGCGACCTCGTCCCTCAGTCACTTGCGCGTATCGCGAGTCCCGTCGAAGGACAGGTGAGGAGCGGTGAGGAGCGGTGAGGAGCAACGAGGAGCGGCGTCTCTGTAGATGCTGCCGGTGAATGGAGGTCAGACGTGAAGCTCCTGGTGGTCCCATTCGTTTTCGACTTTCATCGAGAAGGCAGAATGCAGAACGGGACACCCTGTCCCGTTTTGCATCCGGGATTCACTTTCGGTGTAGCTTCAAGGGGGTTCGTTATCTGTTCGTGTTTCTCTTTTTTTTTTCGTCGGTGGGTATGGAAATTAGACGGCAAGACTTCCCCGTTGGGAGGGGTTGTTACCACTTGGGGATTCCCTCCCGGTTGGAAGAAATGTTTTGAGTGGACGGGAGCGGTCCCTTACAAAATTTTTTTACCTGAGGTAAAATTGGGACGGTGAGACTGAGGTAAAAAAGAAAAACCGGTTTTCTCCCCTCTTTCAATCTGCCAGAAGACCCTTAGGTAAAAATTAGGGGGGAAAGCGGTTAAATTTGGACAAACGAGGGGGTAACGTTTTGTGTGGGTGGAATCCCAGAACGTTGGATGGCATCCACTGCTATCGATCGTGGACGATCGACGGTGACGATGATCCCGATTTCGTCTGTTTCTCTTTTGGAAGGACGGACCGTGGAGGGGGGAGGACCCTGCGGTTGATCCTGCTCGGAGTGTGTGCCTTGGGCCCGGCCTGCTACGTTCTCTACGCCGCCGTCCTACCGGGGCGGAGTCGGGTCGTCGCGAGGGCGAAGGAGCACGAAGTCGCCAGCGAGGTGAGGCGGTGGGAGGTCCGGGTGGGGCGGTGGGAGGTCCGGGTGGGGCGGTGGGAGGTCCGGGTGGGGCGGTGGGAGGTCCGGGTGAGGCGGTGGGCGCTTCCGTCGGATTCTTTCCGGTTTAGACACTAGAACTCTCTTTTCTGAAGTGAATTTGTGTCGACATTGCGCGGACTCACCCAGTCGTTCTTTGCAAATGTTGAGGGCCAAAAGCATGAGGCAGAAAGCGGGGACGGGAAGTGCGCGATGCAGTTCTGTCATTTGTTCGCGGGAAAGGCAACGCGCCTTTCACGCTCGAGCTCCGATAACTTGTACGTTCCGTTGCGGAGATTCTCCCCGTCTGCGTGAACCACAGACCCGCGATCGAAGAAGCAGCCGCCCTCGCTGATCTTCGGTGGGTTGGCAAAAACGCACGGGTGGAGAAGTTGCACGGCCACAGATGGTGCGAAACAGTCGTCTCTGCGCGACCGACGCTCTCGCGATCGCACGTCCTGCGACAGTTGACGTCGCATTTTCCGCGACAACCGGTCCCTCGTCGCACGCCCCGTGCGTTTTTCTTCCTTGCGGAAAGCCTATACTCGGTCGCGGGTTTTCGCCACTGTCCGCGTCCACGCCGATGAGCTGGCTCTTTGTAACGCAAGCAGATCTTCGATCAGAAGCTGCTTGCGAGAGTTTGAATATTTCTTTATATTGAAGAAATGTACTTCGCTTTGAGCCGAATATACCCATCGCTTCGAATCGTCTGTTCGCCACTTCTCGTGAGAGTGGAGTTTCCGAAATTCCTCCGATATTGTATTTATATTCCTCCTCCGAAGCTTGGAACAGCCGAGCCGCACACGCCTTAACCGGGACATCAGTGCTCAAATTTCCATTCCCATCTTGAAGGGAAACGGAGCTCGTCAAATGCTCATGACACGTTCGAAGAAACGAGGTCGAAAGTAATGATGCGATGCGCGACCGACGATCGCCCTCGATCGCCCTCGATCCCAATCGAGCATGACGAGAGGCATGAGGCGAGAGAAAAAGGATTTACCGTGCATTTGGTGCTTTTGGTCGCGAAAATCTGGACGTCGAGCGGCTTCATCTCGGGATGGGGTCGTTCCGATGTCGTTCTGATGTCGTTCTCGCCGTCGGGAGGGATCATTCAGACTGCTTAGTCGGATCGACCTATGGGTTACACGAGCACCCTCGTTCTAACAACCGCAGATCTGTCAGAAAATGTATGGGAAACTGTTAAAGTTTGAGGCCATACTCCCAGCAGCATTGCTTCCGATTCCCTTCAAGTCGGACACACACACTTCCACCGGCTGATATCGCAAACCGGGAAATAATTTTTTTACGGCTGCCCTTAGGTCTTCGGATGCGTTCGAGTCGCTCCTCGACAGGTCCGAATTCACTCGGACGCGGACGAGGCAACGAAATCCGTCGCGACACCCTCCCACCCTTCCTCCACGACCCCCCACGACCCCTCACGACCCTTCCCCGACGACCCACACGACGCTCTTTTCTCTCGCAGGGCCCACGTGAAGCGGTCCCGGTGGCGGTGGACCTCCTCGCCGACATTCTTGCAGCGGAGAGGAAGAAGATCGCCGCGGAGGTGGATGCTCTCCGGGTGCTCCCGCCCGGGGGAAGGTGACGATCCGTTTTCTTCGTAGATCTCGGTGCGGAGTGCGCATGCGCGGACCGGAGCTTCGGTTGCCCTTGGATTCCAGCCGCGAGATGCGCGAAAGGAGAGGTTGCTTTCTGGAGCTCGATCTAACGCTGTCGTTTGGTGATGCACTCGCTGGGCCAGATTAACGAATGGGTGACCCTGGCATGAGCATGAGGGAGCGCCAGGGGAGCGTGAGGGAACGCAGGCCACGAGGTATCACCATAGTTGTACAGCGGAAATAATTGACATCTGGGAAGATGTCAATGGGGCTACCCGGCTTTAGAATAAGAAGATATGGCGCAAAATATTAATCAATTGATAAAATCAACGGCAACCGATTTAACATGCTCACTGATGGCAACCCACCCTTGCGCCACCGACGAGCGAGATCGATCCGGGACCTCGACGCCACCCGCTCCGCATCGACAGTCTTCCCCCCCCCCCCCCTACCCGGCCACGTCCGCTTAGGATCCTGTTCCTTTCCCCATAGAAACCTCGGGTCGTATCTGCTGGAGGAGGGCGGGCGGCCGCTGCGAAGCGTGGTCGCCACCACGTGGCGCTCCGGCTCCACCTTCCTCGGGGATCTCCTCCTGAGTCATCCGTCAACGTACTACCACTACGAGCCGCTGCTGCATCTGGGGATCGTCACGGTCAGGGAGGGGGAGTTGGCACGGCTCTCCGTCGATACCCTCTCGAGGCTTCTTCGTTGTGATTACTCTACATACGGTGAGTAGAGGCCTGTCGGTGGTATTTTTAAAATTTTGAATTTCCTTTACTTTCGTGTTCTCGGGAGTGATGCGCATGGGAACGTCTTTCGAAGCGTTCGGACGGGCGAAAATGAGATTGCAAAAATGGAAGGTGAGACGTGGGGTTCCGGTTCATTCGCTGCATGACCCGATCGAAGTTCGATGAAAACGGCTGGAATGGGATATGAAGGCGACCGGTCGAGGCCGCCTGAACGCACACGGTAAACGAATGGGATGGCCGGGGCGGTTGCCGAGTCATCGAGTTCCCGAGGGAATTCACTCTCGGCTGTGGGCCTGCGGCGTTCTGGGGATCGTGCTGGAACGGTTCGTGGGTTGTCAGTGTCAGAGATGGAACTCTTCGATTCTGGACTAGGGCGGCATTTATTCCGCTTCTCTCGACGCGAAGAAACGTTATTGAAGTTGGGGTGTGCCGATTATCGCGGTTTTACGATATCTGTCGGTGTCGTTCCTATCGATGATATCTGTTTATTGCGATGTTTTTCTGCTTCACACTGCTCTTCCCAGCTTACATTCATGGTTGATTGCTGAGGGAAAAGCTGCGCTATCTAGACATGGAGGTTTTCGTCTCTATGAACCGCTCCTCCGAATCACTGGACCTTCGTGGGAGTGGCTCGATAAAAGAAATAAGGGGAAAAAACTAAACGGGGAAAGTTTCGTTCCAGTGTGAGACTCCATAGCCATTTGGCCCATGGAGCGTGGGAAGGAGTTGGCATGCCTCGCCATCTGGCACTCCCACATTTGCCAATGTGAAGCTTGCACAATAGAAAGGGGAGGAATAAGACAGGTATCGCCGTGCTTTAATGGCAATACCCTGTGATTCCCTCTAACACACCCGTCATCCTTGGCTTTTTTTCCTTGGGAAACAAAGGACGTCATCCAAATATGAACGCTCAAGGTCTCAAAAAGCCCGAAGGTCTCGTGACCCAGCCACGAGCAAAAACCACCCATGTTCGTTTTGCTGCATGTGAACGGTCATATAGCAATATTTTTGCTGCGATCTGCACCCTAAGGCGTTTTAGTCACGTTTCCGATTCCGACTCGAGGAACTGGCGATATCGAGATATCGAGCGCTCATCGATCCCTTTAAAACCCGTATCGCCCACGTCTACCGTGTTTATCCGAGTCTCTTCCTCTTCGTGTCCTCGCATCCAGTGATTCCAATACCCCCACTTTCAGTCTAATTTAACGTGGCTTCACGATGAGGGACGTGGAGGGACGAAGGATTGGGATGACAGAGGACTCGATCCATGTCCCAGATTTGAAGCATATTCAAGGATTTTCAAGGACATTCACAGATCCTCATTTCCTCTTCACTTTTACGCTGTTCGGCTATAAATTATTCACTGCCGTAATTGTGAGTAATCTTTCCTTTTTTTTGCAGATGATTTCATCTCCTACGCTCAAACGCATATTTACGGTTTCTCGCACAACAAGCGCTTGTGGTCGTGGTGCTACTTCCACAGACCCCTGTGCAACAGCAGCTCCTTCCTGTCGCGCTTCTGCTCCCTCTTCCCCTTCCAGACCATGAAGACCGTCAGGGTCCAGCTGAACGGCTTCCGAACCATCCTCGAGGACCCCGAGTGAGTCCCGTTTCGAGTCCGAGTCGGTGCGAGGAGTGCGTGAGGAACTGCGTGAGACGTGCGTGAGATGCTCTCCGTCGGTCGCAGCTTGGACGTCCGGCTGGTGCTGCTGGTGAGGGACCCCCGGGGAGTGATGGAGAGTCGGTCCCACCGGGAGGACTTCTGTCCGGGGAACCCGGACTGCGAGGACCCGAGGAGGTTGTGCAAGGATATGGTTGGAAACTTCCACGAGGCGAGGGAACTCCTAAGTCTCTTTCCGGGGAGATTCAGGTGAGGGTCGTCGTCTGGTGCTTCGGTTGGGCGAGTTCGTGTGGTTAATTTTGGCGGGTGACGGGACTTTCCGATCCGATGCGAGAAACGGTTGGGGGAGGCGTTGTGACGTGCCATCGCGTGCCAGTCGTTTTCAGTCGACTGACGCGCGCGAAACCTCGATACGTAGGCTTTTTTTTTCTAATTCCTTTCGGTCTTTTTCCCAGAGTCGTCAGGTACGAAGACCTGGCCCAAGACCTGGATCGGATGGTTCCGGAGCTCTTCGACTTCTTCCGCCTCCCGGTGACGAACTCGACAGTGTCCTTCCTGCAGACGCATAGCATGAAGGAGATGGGCGGGGTGAGCAGCACATACAGGGATTCCAAGGCGGCGGCCGTTGCCTGGCGCACGAGGCTCACGCACGATCGCGTCCGAGAGGTCCAGGCGGCGTGCGCCGAGGCCATCGGACTCTGGGGGTATGCGATGGCCGGGCCGGAGACGGACTTGGAAACGTTTCATCCCGTTTTGAACTTCACCATGGGCGTTTGAAAGGCGGGAAGGGTCGACCGGCCGTGTTACCAGGGTTTCCTCTGCTCAAATTCTACCACGAACGGTCTTGGGAGACTTTTCCCTTACTCTTCATCTTTGTTCTTCCTGTCTCGCGCGATTTGCGTGCGACGAGCCGGTCGGAGGTCTCGTGCGGTTTTAGTTTCTTTTCCCGTTTCAAACTGAAATTTATCTGGTGGAGGCGATATCCCGATTTTTCGGTGCAGAGGGAACGTCCAAGCATTGGGCATTGCCGAATTATGATCCAAAATGTCGCCCATAGGCTTCAGTGTTTAAATGGTACTTGCATCCCTCGTCTTCGCGCTTCGCCAAGTATGGAGTCCATCCACGAGGGACTTCCAATTACCCGAAACGACCTTACGTCTCTACATGTACTGTGGGCGCGCAGAGGGAAGTATCTCTTATTGGATGACGTTGCACGTGAGCGGTGATCGTGCACCAAACGATAAAAAGGAGAATGCAGTAATTCCGAAGAACGCGAAGGTACAGATGCCTACCGAGAGCAACAAAAAAAACTAAGCGATGGCACTTCCCTTTCGAATGCTTTTCGAATGCCTGGATGGCCTCTGCACTGCCTCCTTCATCGGGGCGGAAAGGCGCATAGAGTGGAGGCGGGCGGGTCCTGGCGCGTTTCCTCATCCTTTATCTTCCCGGTTCGTCTAGTCATACCAGGGAGTTTTTCTATTCGAATTTGGAATCGTTGCTCTGTGATGAGTCGTGCGCACAAAATGATCTGGGTCGTCGACCTTCGATACAAATTAAATTGATCTGATAGGGATATCGGCGCTAAGTCCTTGCTGGGTTGCAAGCCAATGCATGTGGTGGCTAGCGAGCGATCTGTGATTTCTTTCGAAAGATGTGAACCATTCCAATAAAATCGTGGCTCAAGGATCATCTGGTTTCCATGCCTGCATGTTCTGAGGGCATCAGCAGCGACCTCATTCGGTTCATTCAAAGCACGCGATTCTATTGACGGTCGAAACCCAAGTGGAAGCTCAGCCCGGAATCTCTACTTTCGTATCGAGTTTTAAATTGCATTTTCATGTCAGGTTCCCTCTTGGGGATTCGAATCGGATTGGAAACTCGGAATGGAATCCGATATTCAGGAATATGCGTTAAATCTCGAGAGGCTAATGCATATATCCGTTTCTCGTGTACAAGTCCTAGAAAGGGAAGATGAATTATCGACTTTTTTAAATTTAAATAATGCATTTAATAATTTCGAATCTGATTCGAGTATTTTTGGTTCTGTTTAGGGAAAATAAAAATGAGATCCGAACTGGAAAAAATTCGACTGCAAATCTAAGCACTCTCCACGAATCTCAAAAGTCAAAACCAGATTCGGTTTCGACTTTTCGTTTTCCGGATTCGAACGGAATTCCACCGCCGCTGGAGGAGCCTCCAGGTCCTCTTGGCCGATCCAGCTGTCACAACGGTAAGGTGCGAGTGTTCCTCGGACGGGCGCCTCAAAAATTCAATCGAGGGATCCCATGCTCTGATGCGACGAGACGGCCTGCGGGAAGCGGATGAAGCTTCCTGACTTCGTGACCGAGAGGTCCCTCGACGTGCTGGGGGTGGGAGACCTGCCGTCACGCTTTGGGGGAATCGGCTCCGAGGGCTCTCGTGCACGTCGACGGCACGATCGCACCGTGAGGCGGGTTTGCACATGTGGGTGTACTTGCGTGGAAGTTACTCGCGCATGAGGCCCATGGACTAATTCTCCCGGAGAGTTCTTCCACGAAATGGGCTGTTTTCGTGCGAGGCTGACCCTCTTGCGCACGAGTCACTTCCACACACACCTGCAAACCTGCCCTTAGAGGCGCAGGAGAGTTTCACTCGGTTTTCCTCCTCCAAGGCACGGCTCGACGCGACGATTCCTCCGCAAGGGAGATCCCACCCCGTCGTCAACTCCTGATGAGCTGCGGCGGGAGGTTCGCTTCACTGTGGGCGTGTCGAGTCCCACAGGCGATTCTGCATTCACTCGGCAAGGGTAACTCTAGGAAGGTTCAAAGAACTACTCGGAAAACGAACCCAGGTTTGTACACGGCAAAGAGAGGAGAGGATCCTGCGTTCAGTTGCTCCATGTTACGTTTCAGTCATTTCAAAACCAACTTCTGCTCATCTTTCAGGAAAATATACATGAAAATTACTTTTATTCCCAAAATGATAGCGAACACGATTCTCACATAAGTATCACCATTCATCTGCTCATTTTCACGGCGAAACCAGAATCAATCAGTTGCAGATCATTCACATTCCAAAGACTTCACACTCACGAAAGTCCACAAGTAGGTGATTGCATTTCCATGATTTAACCCTTCAAGCGCTGAGTTTCGACTAGACCTCCTAAGTGATGCACGTAAGGTGTACGTGGAAAAGGCTTGAAGGGTTAATGATCATTCCACTTCTTGCCGATTATATTACTCTAAAACCGACCTCTCGTTGTTTTCACCGGGAGAAACTTTCCAAAATGATTACAATAAATGAACTCAAATATTAGCACTTAAAGGGGCTAGCAGTAATACGAGCAGGTTCCTCTAACACCAAACAGTTCCTTTTTTTTGTTGCAGTATTTCTATTATAATGGAATCCGAAGTTACACTTGGCGTCTGATCATAGGAGCCCTTCCGCCGACGAACTAGATTTGATTGGAGGGAAAAACAGGGAACCTTCCCCCGTGCCAGTGACGCCCATGTCTTTCATCTGTTGCGACACCTCTTTCCCAAGCGATCGCTATTTAATGGCGATCCTGTTCCAATTCCGGTACCGTGCGAAAAAAAAAACGTCCTCGTGGCGGTGAACCGGTAACACCGGACACCCCTCAACGTTACCTCAGTTTTACTTCAGAAAGTGAAAATGCCTTCGTTTCGGCATCAATTTGGACGCTATGGATTGACCATTCTCCGTTCTGGAGAATATACGAAAAAACGCCCACGGAAATAATGCCCACAGACAAAACGCCCACAAGAAAAAATGCCCACGGAAAAAACGCCCATACCTGCAAAGTACGAAAAAATGCCCACGTGAATATTTTTCTGGTTTTTATTTATTTATTATTCTACAGAAAAGCATCTCATTTATGGCATTGCCATAAAGAGCTGAGTTGATTTTGCAGAGTTCGTTTGATGGATGCCTCTGATGGCAGGCATCACTTGAAGTGAAATGAATAGCCACAATATAAAAAAGAAGCCGCAAGAGATATTTGAAAATACGCATGTGGGCATTTTTTCGTACTTTGCAGGTATGGGCGTTTGTTCTGTGGGCATTTTTTCAGTGGGCGTTTTTTCGGGTCACCGTTTTGGAGGCGGGGGGAGGGGGGAGGGGGTTGGAGTTGGGAGTCTCTTTGCACAGGGCACCGAAGTGGCTATGGCTGGCCCTGGTCACATTGGAGTGTCAGGCGTCAAGTTGTAGCCCAGAGTTGGGGTGAAATTAATTGCCATAGTCGAGTCACTGGGAATATGGGCAGTAAGGAAAAGAAAAGAGAAATGAGTCATTAGCCTTGTTTCGACTGAGACTTTATCCTGGAATCGCCCTGGGGATAGTCAGCCTCTGGGATTAGTCGAAACGTCGACATTCACCCCCTCCCGCTGTGAGAAACGCCGCCGGGCAAACTGGTCAATCCCAGGATCGTTCTGGGATTGTCCCAGGTTCAGATTTTAGTCGAAACGCATTAGTGGGATAAGCACCATTTGACAGGCGTGCTGAACTCTTCCCTCTGCTCGCATCTTTTTTTTTTACTTTTCACCGTGAGTGTTCGTATTGTTTAGAGTGAGGAAGATGTGCAAACTCTACTGCTTCTATTTCGCGATCTTAATATTCAAAGCATGCTCGATGGCACGCAACGGAATAGGAAAGCGTACGTTCTCCTTGCCAAAGAACTTGAGAAAAGTGGGATTAAAAAGACCCCTACTGAAATTCAAAACAAACTCGAGTCGCTGAAGAAATACCTAAAGAAAATGAAGGACATGAATACAGGGTCGTGCAAAAGTTCCCGTACACTTTGATTAGCGCTTCGATTCTCTTTAGGCGTCATAGCTCGAGAAAAAACTTCAAAGACTGAAATTTACTATAATGAAAACATTTTGTATCAAAAATGTCCGTAGAAATTAAAAAACATATACACATCAGAATCGCCAAAAATCCGTTGATTAGTGAAAAAATTAATTTTTAAAGTGTACGGGAACTTTTGCATAACCGTGTAGGCGGTCGGGAGAAGCCACCCATTCTATAGCTCATATGGAGATTTTGCAAGGCATATCGGGGCTATGGCTTTCTACTGAATTAATCTTCCACCATCTTGCTGGTCTTCTCAACTGAGTGCACTAAGGTGTAACCAGGACTCCCGGTCATTAAATACATCTCCATGAATGAATGGACTCCCAGGAAATGTCACCCAGTCGAAACAGCCAGATTCCCTACCCCAGATAACCTGCCTAACCCGGGAGTAGTGTCAAGACAGTTGAGCCAGGTTATCCTGGGAAGCATGACATTCGATAATTAACGACCTGAATCCCAGGAAAGGCTGTAGTCGAAACAAAGCTATTTAGGGTCTCCCCGGTCTTTGTCGGCAGATTAACTCCTACCGTCAAAGACATGACATTCTGACACGGATGCCACATGGGTCTTCCCTTCAGAGGTGAGTAATTTATTTTCTCGCAGTTTTTACAATCTCCTAATGCAAGCAGTTTCATGATGTTGCTTCCTTGTGTTATTCCTGAGAGGTCAACCGCTCCTGCTCACATTTAGCATTCCTGCTGTTCTTGTGAATAAAAACTGCCTGTGGCAACCCTGTTTTTCCAAGCTGGAGATTAGGGGAGGGGGCTATCAACTAGCTGACATTTTATGACCTCTAATGGGGTGACCTGTCAAATTCGCCGACCAACTCGCCAAATTCCCAGTGACTCGACTATACTTCTCTTTTCATACGGACCAAATTATCAACACATAAAGGAGGAAGAAGGTGCCAACGGTGAGGATAAATTGGTGGTCTTCTGAACCGTGACATTTTCACGACATGGCCGTTGAAGACGGATCAAGTTTTAAACCCTTTCTACCCAAATCGTTTGCTACCATTTTTAATAAAATTCTTCCAGTCTTCAGGCCACTCAACGTCCGAGTTTGCCTATGATGTGGATTCACGTAAGTAACGCTATATGCACGTAACTCGAAGTCTCCGGAAGAGAGACGTAGACGAAAGCGTTCGGAGCTTCGCTGCTGCTGTAAGGCACCAGGCTAGGGTTCCATATCACAAACCCAAACCTTCACCTTAATCACCCAAGTACATCATCTTAGTTTTAGTTCACCATGTACTTTTGGTGAAGTCGTCTGGCCATGCCAGACGACTGCACGTCACAGGCGGAAAACTCCCCTTCATTGCAAATAACATGAAGATGCTTCGTGAAAAAATCAGTATGGAATTCATGCGATGGCAGGTTCGGGGGTGCAAAATTGAGGTATCACGCGGCATGCTATTGGTATTGGTACACCCACTTAGCGCGAGGAACTCATTAAAGAAAAAACCTTTGTCGAAATGACCATGTGTCCATTTATTCAATCCCAAAAAACTCCCACTTCTTCTAACAAAAGTCTTACATCATTTGTGGGACTGAAGAACCACAAACATTTTGGCAGTGAACACTTCCACAATCTTCCTCACATCTCTACACAGTCTGCAGAATTTCCCACGGGGCGATGCACAGACAAAGCTTCCAGCCCACACGCTCATTCTGCCGGCTGAGCCTTCCGTTGAGCACGCCGGCGATGCAATCCACTTGGGAGCGTCCCCGCCCTCATCAAAACCCAATCTCGCTTGCAACAGCGTTTTGGAACGGGCTGCCCCCGTGGAGAATCCCGTCGTGCCCACGGAAGGTTCAAGGCGTGGAAGCATATCAATGGAGGACGAACCACACCTCATTCTGCTGCTTTCACCACTTCTGCGTCTCGAGAGACTCGTGAGAATGGGAGGGTGTGAAAAAAGACGAGATGACTGAGAAAAGTCCCCTGAAATCTTGACTGCAACATAATTTGCACTGACGAGGTACAACACAAAAATCCACAAAACAAATACCAATGAAAATGACAGGAATAAGCAAAATGAAATTGAAATTCTATAATCATCCACTCTAAGAGGGAATGGCAGTTCGTGTCTGAAGGGGATGGGTGGGTAAGGCATGAAGCCAACTTCCAAATGCAGGTGAAAAATCTACAACGTCACCTGGAAGAAGGAGGCCCATCGAACTGGGGATGTCACAAACAAGATCAAACAGAAGAGATTCTGCTTCGGATTTGGCCAGATCACAGAAATGCTGCTTTTTTCCGTACGATTGCAATCCGAACGAAAGCACAGCATGGCGGACGCTGGTCTGCCCTTGTGCAGTTCCAGGACCAGCAGCAGGCAGCAGGGGTGACAGAGCAGGACTACCCCGCTGCTGCTGATGACTTTCAAAACAGAATTTGAATTGACAACCCTGAGCTCACCTTGAACCGGAGCAAATGCTTCCTCTTTTTGCACATCACAGCATTATAATTTCAACATGAAACAAACTATTCTAGGCAGATTACAGATAACCAAAAGCCTAAAGAAATAACCTAAAAGTTCTTGAGATTTAAAAGGAACAAAAGGCAAAAATGTCATCACATACAATACCACTTTGAGAGTTTGGTACAGACTTAAGACATAGTACAGAACTTCAAAACTACATCAAAGAAATCACCATAAGCATTGGGTATCATACTTGGAAGGTAGAAGTAGCAAAGCCAGATTCTTAGGAATGAAGACACTGTGATATGACAACAATTGGTTCTATTGCTGCTACACGTCTATGCCACAACAGGAAGATTTCAGACCACTAATGGCCAATTCATTCTCAGGGAATCTTTTCAGGCGGTAGTTGATTGTGCTCAGCTGCACAAGAAAATCATCAAATTGAAACATGTCTCAAGTCCACCTTTTTGGTTAAGGTTCAAAAGCAACTAGAGGCACACACTGCGGTTCACTATTGGTCTGGTATTGCATACTTTTATAGTTGGTGTAGCTCAACACACAGGATGAGAAAAAAAGTGGAATACTTTTGACACGAACTCAGCAATAAAAAATCCACAAACAGGGACATTTTGCCAGCTGATCGCTTTTAAGATTGTTATAGCTTACTAGTAAATAAACAGTTCTAAAAGAATATTCTGAAAATGCAGCTCTTGAAGGGAAGACCCTACTTAGCCTCCATTTTTTTAAAAAACCACCTTACATCTAATGCCAAGGGTGGTTATCCAATACAGCACTTGCTATTAGAAATGAAGATTTCAAGCATTAGTTCTTTACCAGATGGCATATTGGGTGGAGCGTAGGAATGCAGCTGCTGGGAGTTGAACAATAATGTGGTTTTGTAGAACTTTCCCACCTGTCAGCTTTTCTACAGATGAGTTGCTTTTAGGAGTAGGCATTTTCTTATCTGAAAGAAGAGCTTTCAGATGCAAGCATTCCAAATATTTCATGGATTCCAAGATCTAATAATGTGTCATGAGGTTTTCCAGTTTCCTTGCCACATAATGTGTGGAGAGAATGGTCTAAGTTATCACCATCATCTCAATGAGATACAATACCATATAATCACACAGGTGATCATCGTTTTGATTCAAAATGATGGCAATAATCACCCAATCAATTACTTTTTTTTTATGAATGAGACTCCCACCTTGACTACTTTGTGCAATAAGATTTTCCCCACAAGCAAGAGAACCTATTAGCAACTGTGATGATCAGAAGCAATGAGGAATAGTCTAAAAAAAAAAAGAAGTAAAATTTGAAATATACAGGAAAATATTTTCAATCTTAACATTAGTTTCATTAGTACTGAAAAACTCAAGAATGGCCTTAGAACACAATCCAAAATGACAGGACTAAGCTCACTTCGAACCATAACAAATGCATCAAGTACACATATTAAATGGTAAGTCTCTGCAAGCACAGCTACTTAACATTGGATACCTACATTTTAAGTCCAGTTTTACTTCTTTTTTTTTTCCAAGAAATGTTCCTGTTAATCTATAAATAATTCAGAACTATTACCTACATTGCTTTGCTTCAGTCCCTCAATTGAAAGCTGACCATCCATGAATCTCTCCTTGTATGAGGACAGCTAATAGTCACACATGACACAAAGGATGTAATTCCAGAGAAAGTTTTTGTTTCATCTCCATATAGTCCTACCTGACCCCTGTCACTCATAAATTCTTTTGGTATTCTAGGTTTTCAAGTGGTGGTTACTACTCTCACCTCCAAAAAAATTATTGCATTGCCATTATCATCTGTTTTCTGCTACTTGCATAGAAAGAGATGCATAAGAATCAAACCATCTCTCTGATCCTGCAAGCAGGCTCTTAACACCTTAAGCCCCAGAAAACTAGAAGGTGGAAATTGCTACAAAATCACTGATTAGTCCTTTGAAAATGCAACATTGGTAAATTTGTCAAATATATGAAAAAACTCTTACTTCTTTGTAAAGTTTGTCACCTTGGTTTTGAATTCCAACTAGAGCAAAGGCAAAGTTAAAGAGCTCATTTGAACATATATTGACAAGAGATAAGCTTGTGTCACTGGATACCAGGAGCAGACATTTCATCATTCACACAAAATGAACATGTCAAGCAGATCCAGATAGGGTGGCTGAATTGGGAAATTTTCCAAATAATTTCTATATGTAACTTTGCAACACTGGGGATGAGGGTTAAACCCTCACTAATCAGAAATCCTTATGTTCTGGGGCTGAAGGGGTGAAGGCAATATGTTGGAATGATGTCCTTCCATAATCCACTCCTTTCCATATGGAAATGGTTTTCCTGAGATTGTCTTGATAGTCTAGTCCAATGGAATAGTTCAAAATACTCAGTATTATGAGTGTAAATTCTGCTCCTCTTGGATCTCCCAGGATGACCACTCTCAATTACTCAAGAGAGCCAAGTTGTACACTCAGAAAGAAACTGATATGAAAACTTTGAAGTTGCCACTGAATCTTGCATTGTTGGATTTTAGATTAATCATCATTTGTGACAGGAAAAAAAAAGAAAGGAACTATTAACTCCATGGATAAGAAATACAACACAGGGCTAAACTGCTTCTTAAAGAGGCTGCAATAAGAATCTGTTTAGGTTTAATCCTCAGGGTTTACTTGAGGAATGATGAGACATTATGATGAGAGGGTCTGATGTGGAGAATTGGATTTGCCCATTCTCCCATGGCTTCCCATTTTAACAATATCCATTTTCCAACAATACCACATATAAAAGTGGCATGAGGTGAATCAGTCTTGAAATAAATATGCCTTCAACTTGCTGACAGAAACTTGAAAGGCACAGTCAGACATCATTATAAATAATGTGAAATTAACTTTTTCTAGCTTACCACAATTTCCAAATTCCTGATACCCTTGACAAGTGCCTCACAAAATAAAGCTTCCTGAAAATTTGCATGAGTGGCATTGACATTTTGATATGCCAGTAAAGTCAAATTAGTGGGGCGAGAAAAGGACCAATCATTTTAGGTATTCACTGACCAGCTGAATATTCAAATCCTGACTAATCTTCTCCATAGGCTTTACACAACTATCCACAGGTGACCACGGGGGTAAAAACATTCACATTTAAAATCCTCTGAGGTGCTCCATTACTTTTAGTGCAAGAGATTTCCTGGCCATCATAAACTTTTTGGAAAGGTGTAATTAATATACTCACTCTAACTAAAACCATAAAAAAATTGGTGCAAAAGGCAAAATGTAACAAAAATTCCATTCTCAAAAGTTCATCTTTTGAATTGGAATTGCAAATTACACAGGTTTTCTTTTACAAATAAGTAGTACAACATTACAAGTGCATCTCCAGAGGTTACAGTCCATGCCACATGATTAGACAGAAGACACTTCTTGTAACTGATGAGAGCTCTAGGCAGTCAGGATATTTGGAGCCATAGTATCTTCAATCTGTCAGGATAATGGCACAATTAACATCATGAACCAGTGTCCCATTCAATCAAGTATTCAAGATTCCCTGCCATTGTGATGCGCTTGGCAAGAATGCAGAACTTCTCACCCCTTGCAATACGGCTTGAAGCACCAAAGAAGCAACTCACAGAGTTTTTGAGATCATCTATAGAATATTTAGAATCACTGACACTCTTGTTGCCAACTGAATCTGCCATGTGAGCATCAACTTCAGATGAGAGACTTGGGTCGTGGCTCACACTCCGAGAGATGGGAGGGGACGAAGCAGCCAATGGGACACTTCCCATGTTGCTCAAACCAGGATATTTTGCAGCAACATGAGTGGAAGCATGACCGAGGCGGGAAGCCAAGTATGCTGCAAGAGCATCTTTGCGACGTCGATATCGTCTTCTCACCTCTCCGTTCTTGGTAACCTTGATGTCCTTCTCGCTCAATTGCCGAGTGGTGGGGCGGAGAAGTGGGTGGAGTGTTCCCAGTGAACAGAAGGGGTTGTTATCTCCCTCAAAGTTCTGTGGAGGTGGGATGAAAGAATCCAAGGTGCCTCGACTAGATTCATCTCCACTTGCCTCTGGTTGTGGGCCCCGACTTGGTGGCACAACAATGGACCGATTCACATGATGATTTTTCTAGAAATAAAAGCCAAAGACATAAAACGTGTAGTCAAGCTTTCCAGGAAAGAGTCACCTCCTTAATGCAACAATATATGCCAAAAAAGTGAATAAATTCTCTGAAGGTTTGAACAACATTATTGAGGCATGTGAAGAGATCCAGATATTCAGAAACATTTTTATTTGCTTATGATTATTTATTTTTTTAAATCAATGTTCAGAAAATATACATGAGAGACATTCAATAAACAAGGGGACAAATAAAGGTGGAGAGCATGTAGCACTGCTGCAATCAGTGATAGGGTATATTAAGATAAAATCATGTCTTATGGACAGTTTTTAGGGGTGGCAAGATCATCTGATTTAAGCACATGAGCAGTACATCATTCCAAGACAATCTACATGATCATGGGAAGTTAACATGAAGTACAACAAGCTGTTGTGCTGTTCATGTGAGACACTGGTACCACACCCAAAGAAATCCATGAACAGATGTTAGCAGTTTATGTTGACATATACTTCACAAGAAGGGGGGGGAGGCATCCCCTCAGTTACTCACACATGGGGCTATTCTCTTGCATAACAATGCTTGGCTACATGGGACCTGTGGAACTCAGAAAGGCACTTGCCAAAATGGGAAGGGAGCATGATTGCCTGAAGGCAGATTTGTGATGACTGATGACATTATCTCATCCTGGACAAGGATGTCCAATGTTCTGTCTGATGGTGACTAACACACCAGCATACATTCCTCTCTACCATGGGCATACTGATATATGTATCACAATAGGACAAATGACTAAATGTATGATGGTTATGTGGATAAATAAGAGGCTCTATTAACCTACCCACTCAATTGTGTCCAATTCTATATCCATTTGTCCCATTATTATTCAATGTCCCTCATATCATTGACAATCACCAGCAACAGAATCAAAGGTAACACAATATTTGACACTTTTCAGTAACACAATAATTTGTCCAACAGCAAGAATCATGAATTGATGAGCTGATGACAAAATATAGATAGTGTGATTACGTAGATGTGTTTTGGCAGTCCTTTTGGAACAGCCTGCTTAATGGATGAGATTGTGGGTAACATGAAAACAGTTCTGGCTGTTTGGTAGTGAGGTAAGCATAAATACCAACAGTGTCCCTATGCCAAACATGGAAACACATGCTGTGGCAATGGGAGGGATGAGACTGAACACTGCACACAACACCTACCCATTAACTGGGGGTGGCAATCTTGAATTATTCCTCCACAAATTCATGACCATCCTGTCATTGCAGTTGTCAATTGTAACCTAACTGATATCATGACCATAAGGGACAATGGAAACAGTGCCGGTCATGCTTCCAAAATCTGGTTGGGAATGCCAAAATGCACCATAAAAACACCATAATGGATACAGATGTTATTCAGTAAGCTAAAGATGAGACCCATAACCACTTCTTGGAATGTCCATGGTGAATTTTGTGCAACTTCAAAGTTTAACAATTGCAAAATGGGGAAAACTCTGAAGAGTCAAACTCAAGGACTGCACTGCAGTTGAATATTGACAATGACAATATGTTCAAATGTGATCGGGGGTATTTCTCATCAAAGATGCTCAAAATCTCCTTTGCTTCCATTTCTTGGGTAAAATCACGCACATTTACTTTGTTTTGAGTGCATGGTAACCTGGTTTATAAATGCATTTCTGAATCCTTTACTTCTGAATTAGAGTTACTTGGACAACAATACAATTTATAGAAAAGCACTGAACACCCACTTGTACTTCTATAGCAGATGCATATGCAATCATTACTTTCTCACTTAGATTCTTTAGATTTTCATGCTGTTATGCTATTAAATTTCATACTTTTGATGCCCTGTCATCTTTTGCTCAGAATAACACTTTTGTGCATGATGTCCACTGTGGTGGACAGCAATGACTTTGGCTCTAATGATGGCTTCTCAGCCAAGGTAACACATACCTCAAAACTTTTGGTGCAATGCGCTCCAAGGCACAATCTATTCAATGCTAATTTCTAACAGTGGAACATGCAACTACTATGGCAGAGTACCTCCTTAAATATTAAATCAAAAGGCATATTATTGTTTTGCTTTAAAAATTCATGCACAAAAGGGAAAAAAACAAAACATCCCTGGATGAGTTAGTAAGACAATGACCTAAAGAATAGCAGATTCTAGCTGATCACTCAGTTCCTTTTTTTGAATGGTATAAAAAGATGGATCTGATCATGCCACAAAGTCAATTTAAATTTAATTTTTTACATTTCTTATGCATGTAGTATCACTATCGAATGAACCCATGATTCTCCAGGAAGGAAAAGCTCAAAACTTACTCCCTTAATTGCATCATTAAGGAGTTTTTTGGCCTTTTTGACTGTCAGATCACATGACTTTGAAGCTTTGTTCTTCAGTATCAGATTCTTCCTTCCAGGCAAGGAATCCTTTCTGGGCCTTCCCACAGGACGCTTCACTGGTGGGGCACTGTCACACTTGAAAAGCTTCTTCTTTGGCAAGCCTTCTCTGGCCTCATTCACTTCACCGCTAGGATCAGACAGGGCATACTTGCGACTCTGCTTTAAGCTTATTGGTGGCCTGCAAAATGAAGCAAAATATATTAAGAAATAGGTAACCTGGACCAGGTCCCAAATGGAAATTGAAATTTCCCTTTAAAAGTTCAGAAGACTCACGTTCGCAACTTTGCCTTGAGGTCTTCATGATGGCCATTCTTTGGCTTCTTCTTCATTGGTTCACAGCTTTCCTTTATAACTTCTTTCTTCCTTTAAAGAAAGACATACACCACGTATTATTACCATCTTTAAAAAATATATCTTCATCTCCCTCTCATCTTATTAAAAAAGCATTAAATATGTTAGCATCAAGTAAACTTGATTCAGTTAAAAAGTATCAGTTAATTGGTCTGTCAGGCAATAGATGGTCTTATATATGATGTCATCATATTCTTTTAAGTTCCCAGCACAGCTTCTCCCAAATCTGCTTGCATAATTGTTGGCTGAAAGCTTTAGAGGCTGATACCAAAATAGCTAAAGCTATTCCACGACATACAGATCAATGGCTCTTCCAGAGTACTCTTTTTTTATTGCAATTTTCACATTTTCAGATAAAAATCTAACAGTACAACAACCAGGCCTCTGCAGTAAGTATAACATACTTCCAGTTCCAGTCTGGTTCCAGACTTCGTTGCAGAAAATCATTTCAGGTTGCATAACCACAACAAATTGGTGTCTGCTTCAACCTCCTGCTTCTCCTTTTACCTTCTGAAAACCTTTCAAAATTGGATTTCAAGAAGACAATCTCAAAAATATGAACAATTGGCTTTAATGTATGATTCAAAAGCTTTGAAATTATGAAAATTTCTCACAGCTCTTCATTGTTTCCTTTAGAAGAAATATAATGTAAGAAAAGGAAATAGAAAGAAAAATAAAGACATTCAGATATGCCTGAGATTTTGACCAATGGATTTAAATGTCCTATCAGCTCACATTGAATGACTCCATAACAAATGCAATAAATACAGCTCAAAAATTAATTGAATACATGAAATAAATAACCAATTCAAGATATAAAGCCTTAAGGCACATACTTGTTGGCAGAACATCTCATTTTCTCATCCTCCTCATCCTCATCCATTTGATCAGATTCAGATTCATCAGGAACTTGACGTTGAACACGGAAACGGCCCCTGAGCTTAAGAGATTTCACTGTATCCATAGTGATAGCTCCTCTCTTTGGTAAAGAATAAATTGGTGCGACTGGTGGGACACGAGACCTCAGCCCCCAAATGGTAGAACTTTTCTTCACCTCCCTGCCTGACTTGAATCTGCAATGGAAAGCAATATGATAAACTCACATTGACTTGACATGGGTGACAATGAAGGGTAACATCAGGCGTGGTACAACCACTTTTCTGGGCCAAAAAAGAATCTTTTGGACTATATCTAGTAGAAGTACTCATTATAATTAAGTGCCAGGAGGGAAGTATAAATTATTTTGCCAAAACAAGAATTTTATATAACAAATTCCACCTATTCTTCCTCTGCACAATAGATATTTGCTCTAATTACTTCTCTACATTCCCCTACTTCAGAACTCCAAATCATGGGCAAGAGCATCCTATCCTATATTTATAAGTGATAGAAAATTCTTCACCCTTAGGAGTTACTTGTAAGAATACAATTGCTACTATGGGGGTTTGACAGAGATACAAAGTGATTTTACTGCCAGATTTTGCTATGATGAAGTTTTACTAGGTTTACTGACAAAAACACAACTAGCCTCTGTAACTGTATAAAATCAACATTTCTATAGGAAAAAATATAGCTGAAAATGTGAGACAGTAAAGACAGCATGGATGAAGGAGAAAAGTGTGTCACAATGATATACATATACATGTTTCACCCATAATACTGCTAGTCCTGAGTTAAAAGTAGTCCCTAGCTCCATCACAATGAATCTAAAAAATATTCAGGTGACATCATATGGCATACCAAGGCAGTATTGCAAAACTGTTGATTGGTGGATTTCCATGAGAGAAAACATATTGAAGTAATATTTCCTTAAAATAAAACTTTCCTGCGTGTGTCAGATATAAACTATGCTTCATTGAGTGAGATACACGACTCAAGAGTAATTTATTTTATCTATGCAATCAAAGTATGCCTATATAAACAATATACCTACTAAGACAGGGGTGCACAACTCAAAAGACTCAGGGCCATTTGTGATTTTTACTCCCCGACAGTAGATCATGGTCTGGCTGACCATAGCTGTGGCCAACAATACAGGAGCCATAAGTAGTACTTGCATTGCCACCAGTCATGGCACACCGCAGGCAAGGGCCTTGCGGGCCACATGCAGCCTGCAGGACTTATGTTGTGCACCCCTGTACTAAGACAAATAGATGAAAATTACCTGGATGAGTGAACAGCCAAGGCATCTAAGATGTTCTGCTTTCTCTTCTCCTTTGGCAAGGCATTCATCTGAGAAAGGCACAAGAGAGAGGAACTTTGAATTGCATAATTTAGATGATAGAAACGAATACTAGAAACAGAGATAGAGCAAAAATGTGGAAAAGCTATCAAATGAACAGCTTTTAGCCTTGACATAAAAAATGGGAAGCAAAAATGTTCTGATTGAGTCTGAAAATGCAACAACAAATTGGTGATCACATAAATATTCAAATTTTTTTCATACCATGCGATCAATAAAAAACAAGGAGCTGATTCCACAAAATATCAAAGATTCTTCATTCTTCCTTGAATTTTGTTTCTTTTCCTTAAGCTTAAATGCGGGGTATGAAGGAGGTTTCAAGTTTCCACATATTGATATCACCATAGGAAGTATCTCACTCATCTAGCAACAGAATAAAACAATTCCAATATGATATTCCTCTGCTATCACAAAAAAAGAACTCATGGCTTGACAAGAGTGTAGACACTGTGGATCAAATGCTGCTCTGGAGCAGCTCCATTTCTACCCTTTAATCAAGCCTTTAAAGGTGTGGGATTCCCTAAAGGCCATATATTGGTACATGGCCCCTGACAGAGGTCTTACAAGCTTTGCAGATATAATATCCAACTCTGAAATACTAACATTCAATGCTGTCTGCATGGTTCAGATCTCCAAAAGACTAGAGGTGTAACAGTCTACATATAGCAGATATTTCCCACTACCAGCAGGTATTGGTGATATTGGTAATACCAGGTATCAGCATGCATGATAACTGGTAGCAGCAAGACTACTTAATTTTTATTTTCTCCTGGAGCCAAATCTGAACGATGAAGTCCTTGATCTCATTACATTTCATGAAGGATAATTCTGAAGGGATAATTCAATTTCAGAAAAATGTGGCTCAGAAAAACCCATCTGAACCCATCAATAGTAATTTTTTCTGCACAACTTTTGAGGATATCCATGCACTGACCTTTGCTGGCACTTGAAGGCATTCCCAGTTCTCATTGACAAAGGGGAATATTACAGAGTCGAACTCATGGTACTTGCGAGTGTACAGAAGTGTGAGGTTGAAGAGAGCCAAGTGAGCAATGTCCACCCATCTGATTGGCAGGCGGTACACAAACTCTTTTTCGTTTGGATTGCACAATGAGCACACAAACACATAGAATCTGCAATAAAATATAGGCATTATTTTTCTCAAAGGGGACTAGAAAGACTCACTGTGAACTACTTTAAAACCTGAGGGGTAAATCAATCACTCCAGTAAGGCATCACATCTAAGAGTGATGTAGGTATAACAAACTCAAAGAGGACAATGGTATAGAGAGCTAGTGCAAATTATTCCTGAGCTTTCACTGAGCTTTTGCTTGCTATTTCTTCTTTACATTCCTAGAAAAGGGCACCAGGAGATCAGTTGGATTGCTTGGGAGTGAAGAATAAGGAAGGTGCTTCTTTTGTAACAGGAAAGAATGACACCCTAATGAGAAATACGCATCTATAGTAATATTAAATTTGCAAAATATAGGAGTTTTAAATCATGTAATTTCTCATAATCTCAATCATAATCAATACAAGCAAAAGTTATCTGTGCGGGACCTGCACCTATAGAATGTATAAAAGGGTGAAAGAACACTGTAAGCCGGAGTAAATTCATATAATGGAAATTAGGAATCAACCAAGAGTTCACAAGATGAGATGCGACTGCAAAAACCATTACTTATTTCTATCCATTCAAGGTTCTAACCTCAATAACTGGGAAGGCTACATTACCGGAATTTCCATTGTCGCCCATTTAAAAAAGTTTGTCGCCAGATTAAAAAAAAAATCACCGGCCCAAATAAAAACTATAGTCTGGAGTCGACAGTTTTCATTTTCATCTTGACAAAGCCTCAGCAGATGGCAACTGATACAACGTATATCTCCTGAAAGAAGCGCACCGTTATGAAAGGTTTAACTGCACTAGGTCGTACGGTCAAACACGTGCGTACGTCAGCTCCCTATTAGTCATGAGCACAGTGGGAACAGAGGGAGCAACGCACCCTCTGTCCGTCGAGCATCCATCTCTATGGAAGCATCGAGATGAGTCCATCAATCCCTATAAGTCCAATTTCTCGAAAATAACCGTAGATCGTGGAATAGGGAATGGAGCATTTCCTGCAGTTCACGTGCGAGAGCCACGAGGCCCCAAATGCCCCTTTCCCCTCAACTAAAAGCATAATCCTCCTCTTCCCTTCTCCAGCAATTCTAAGAACTCCCGCTTTAGACAGATGTCTCCCTAGGATACGAAGAGAGTAAACCGAGCTAAGCAGAGCGGGTGGGTCCCCACTAGTTTTATCTCGCCGATGGGAGGGGGCTACGATCTCGAAAAGGAGAAAGAGACAGATTCTGAGAATACGTGTCTCCGAGGCAACTAATAAAGTTGATGATCGGGTAGGGTGGAGGGTCCGAGAAGGAAAAGAAAGGGGAAAGAAAAGGGTCAGACGGGCTAGTTGCACTGGAATACCCATCTTCACTCTACGCACTTGTTTCAGCGGTGTACGGTGTTGCACGTGAGCTTGCAGTTCGTTCGTCGGAAGCACACTTGTCAGGCCATTCACGATAGCATTTCGATCGGCAAATCTGCCTCCCTATAACATGCCGATACCATATCAAGAACCGCAGGGAAAAGTCACAGGGTGCCTAATCCGGCTGATGGTAGCGATTGACCGGCTCGAGTGGCGTGCCAGAAAGTTTAACACGACGATGACGTGTGAGAGGGGGAACTGTCCTGCCGCAGCATCTACTTTTTGGTTCGACATGCCACTCGATCACTACCATCGACCATTCACCGGACGAAGCACCATGTGACTTTTCCTTCTTCATGGGGTTCTCTCCAGGCCATATCGGGTCGAAGAGACGCAGACCTGCCAAGCGGGATGGCATCATTAGTCCCCTGACAGGTGCACTGCGGACCCTAGCAAAGAACGAACTGCTGTCGTACGTGCTACGTTGGTACACCTGCCGTGAATTTTTTTGATAGGCCCCTAGCATATGCAACACTTGAGGCACCTGCTAATTTCGGTCCCACTCCTTCCATTCACACTCCCAATGAATCGTGAACCACCAACCGCGAAAACATGGACGCATTGATGGGTGGTGCCAGTCATGTCCTGTATCGATAGTTTACAAAAAATTATTGCGCAACGACACTGATAGCTCTTCTTTCCTTCTTTAACCAGTTCTATAGAGATGAATTCGACGTTGGTTACATGTAAATGTCTCGGCACATTTATATTTAATATTTACGATCACATTGGAAGGGGAGAAATTGGGCGGGGAGTTGGTTGCTTTGCGGGAATTAATCCATAGTAGGGATTCGCCCAGTTTCGAAAGCTTCTTGGTTAGAACCCAACACACCACCAACATCCATTCCACCATTTTGAGTCGATACAGGAAAGGGCAGAACCTCTGGTAACCCAACATAGGAGGAGGCAATATTCCTACACTCACCTGTCACCGCGAAAGAGTGGGAATTCGAGGCAGTGCTCCAGACATGCTTCGTGAAACCACTGCTTGCAGCGACCACACTGTAGCATCTTGCAAAACCAACTGCCAAGCACAAAGAAATCACCTGTTACCACCAGTCTCAAAGAAGGCATGCAACATGCCTATATGCTAAAGATGAATACCGTGTTTTTCATAATCACTTCACCATCACGTCAGAAATGGAAATGTTTTTTTTTTAGGGATGGGTTATTGACCGGTCACTTAAAAACATGTCAATTGACTGGTCAATATTGTCAACAATGGTCAATTACCGTCAATAAGGTCAACTTTTATTTTGTTTATTTTATTTCATTTTTTCCTGCACAGTTTGTGCTCCATTTTTATGTCACGACTGAAGAGATAGACTAGGCATGGGAAGTTGACTGGTCAACATGGTCACTTCTGACCATTTAGGGACAATAATGGTCAACCAGCCCAAAGAGGGGCTAGGCCTTATGATTATATATTATCAGAAATGACCATGTTGACCGGTCAACATCTCATTACTAAGACAGACTTACACATAAGGCTGCTAGGACAATTTATTCTAGTTGAAAAATAATAAAAATTGATATCCCAAGGGGAGTCAATTGCAAGGAACACCTTGAAAGAAAAGTCATAGTATTCTATTTGCAAATGGCGCCAAGAGGGGTAGTGAAATGGGTCTACCCAGAGTCCATTATGTCTGGGCAGGATTCTTGCACTCTGCTTGGAAGTAAGCTTTCAGACCCTTCCCAAAGACCATAACATTCATTACACAAGCTGGCATACAGAATACAGAGGCCTTATACTTTTGTCATTCTAAGCCTTGTGTAAAAAGGAAATTGTTTTGCAGTTCAAGTAGCATATACAATCTTCACTTTTCAGTTCAACAGAAAAGGAAAACTTTGTTTTTCAAGAAAATAAATTAATAAAAGAGGCTTCTCATTTTTCACAGGTCAATAAAATCTCAGCAAGAACAGGGAAATCCCACTACAACTCTACTTAGGAAGCTACTCAATAGCATACAATCACACAGTAGAATGCCTCCAATTCATTACTAAAGATGACTTGAAAATAAGTGAACACAGATATTTCTCCTTTCAACACATCATCATTAATCTCATTTCATCCTCTCAGTTTAGGATCAGTTTTGATTTTCTCATACACCAGTTCTCAAAAGCAGAATGTATATCTCCATTCTGCTTTGAGTCTTCTCCTTGCCACTTCCATAACCATGCACAAAAATCAAACTGGATCCAGGGAGGATTCATGAAGATCCATACTTTTAAGTGTTCTGATCTGCAAAGCAGTTTCATTTCATCTTCCATAATAATCAGGAAGAAAACTTTACATCCCATCACAACCACTTGACCAGCCTCTCTGTACATCAATTCCTTACAGCTCAAGAAATACACAAAAAAGATATGGAAAATTATGAGATGAAAAATGAATCCATCTCAATTTTTCTACGGTGAGTTTCTTTTTTCTCACCTTCCAAGTGAAAAGGGAAGACTTTGTATAGCTCCCTCAGTTCATCATGTGAAGTTATGAGACCTTGGCTTTTGTCATGTGAATTTCTCATTTCTTACTTCATCTTCATTGATAAAAATGGAAAATCATTCTCATCAAAGTCAATCTCAGACAAAACCCAATTGATCAAGACATCTTCAACTTTCATATCATGTGATTAAATCATGATGTAAGATTAATTATCTTCCAGGAGATTATAATATGCACTCACTCTCCTGGTCCACCACAGTAGCAGTAGATTTGCTCTTTATTGGTTCGATGATGCTGATCCCAGTGAAGGTTGGCCACCTGAAAGAGGATTGTTTCTTGTAAAATTATGATGCCATAAATATAGGGTGGATGGATGAATTTTTTTACTTTTTGCATAGGTAAAATAATCAGGCAGTGTTAATCTTAAATTACTCTACAGCTTTTCCTGGCCTGAAATGGGCTGAATTACCAAAGTAATGGAAACATCAGTGATTGGATAACAGAGACCTGCAATGTGCAAAACTATTTCTCATCCCCATCCCTCACTCCCTATAATTCAGTGAAATAGCAAGAACATAGTTTCCAAACATAGTTGTGAGCATTCCTTTTTCTTTTGCATACCATTTTTAAGTCACCTTTAGTATCTCATATCTTATTTTAGAGTTCACCTTCCCTTTTATGATAAAATAACAGCAGCACCTATGTGACCCAGCAATAGATGAAGAGGCATGTTGTCAATGATGTGAAAAAAGGATGAGAAGCAATTTCAAAAGTTTCTAGAAGAGCAGGAATTTGCTTTTTCTCAGAATGAAGGTGCTACAAATATAAAGGGTGAAGCAGTAAAAAGGTAACTGAAAATGTATTCCTTTTTGTGTTACCTATTATATACATCTATGTGATCCAATGCATGGAAATGTGCATTCAGTATGGTGGTGAGCATACTGAACACATGATTGTGCACCATGGTAAAGATAACTGAACTTGCAATGTGCTGTAGTGTGTAATGTATAATATATATAATAAGTAATGTTCTGATTACTGAATTGCAGTTTCAGTTACCTTTATACTGCCTCACCCTGTAGTTATATGCATCTGGTCAGTGCCTGACACTATGAAGTCTATGCTCTTCTTCATTTCAAAAGTCAAAAAGGACATCTGGACTCACATCATATGGCAGTTGTAGTTTTGGAGACACTGTGCTATCAACAAGCTTTTCCTCTTCTTCCCTGAGTGACTTGGTCAAACTTACACAACGGTCACAGCTCCAGTCAGCAGACCAGCCTTTGCTTATCTTCGGCTGCAAAAAAAAAAAGCCACTAGGTGTTGCATTACAACATATTTATGCTCAACTGCAGAAGAAAATATGAACAATACAAATTGAATATCAAGGTCTAGCTTGTACCTAGAATTGGTATTTTATGCTGAATTCATGAGTTCATATTGTGACAAAAGCATAGGGGTTCTATGAGTTCAGCATAACAGGTCATGTATGGTGCTTGTGGCATGAAATGAACATTACCATATGTGTACATGATCAAATAAAAGCTCACCCAAAGTAGCTAAATGAGAAACTTATGAGAAGTTTTGTACATTAACCCTTTGCAGCCCATTGTTGAACATAGTCTGACAATCTCAATAGCATAAAAATAAAATGGACTGCATATTGTTCAAATGTCAATATGTTAGTCTTAATATGCATTAGCATGTACATGCAATTGCGTACCACTGGAAAGAAGTAAACTGTTAGGCCATTGCTTGGCATAATCATCCCTGATCATGCATATGTGAAAAAAAATACAGGGTGTTCTAAAAGTAGCTTTACCGAGATTATACTCACATTCCAGGGAAAAACCACTTTCTTTACAACCAACCACCAGCAGAAAGTGACAATGAGGAGCAACAGAAATTGTTCAAATTGTTGTCCATGTTCAATGCACATTTGACATATTCAAATAAAAATCTGAATGCAAGTGAAATTAATCACAAACACTTCACCGTCTGGGTAAAGCAACTTTTAGGACACCCTGTACTTTTTTTTACATATGCATGATCAGGGATGTTTATGCCAAGCAATGGCCTAACAGTTTACTTCTTTCCAGTGGTACGTAATTGCATGTACATGCTAATGCATTTTAAGACTAACATATTGACAAGATGACAATAGGTTACATAATAGATGAACACCACCAAACAATCATCTCACCTGATGGCATGACTGATGATAACTCTGCTGGCATTTGGAGCATACAACCAATTCATTGTTCAAAAGAGACGTTGATTGGCGGCATATCACACACATTTTGTCTGGAGACCCAGAGCGGAATTTTGTGAGATCTTTGAGCAGTGACCAGCACTGAGTGTGGTCATCAAATTGTATCAGGCACTTGTCCAAGAGGGAATCCACCTATTAAGGAGGATAACCATCAATCAGCATATCAACAAAACAAAAATGCCTAATTTCACCATTCATATTTGCTGCCATGTGCATCAAGTCTCAAACCTCTCTTGACCATTACAGGCAGATGGGATTGTAGAGTCAAGATACCATATAGATGCAAGGCCTCAACATACCAGGCAAGGCATAAGTTACTTGCCCCATGAGATGGCAGCATATTAGCATGACAACATACATTATAAAAAAGAGTTATCACTGAATTACATTCCTCAATGTACATCACACATGTACCACACATTGTGGAGGAAAAAATGCAAATAGAAAGTGCTGAAACTGGTGCTTGTTGAGATTTACAACATGTTGCAGCCTTTCTGGGACAAGTGAGATATAACCATCATAAAAACATCAGAGTTGTGCAGGGCTCCATCTTGTATGTCCAGACTTGGTTTCTACATGTGTTTTGCCAATAAAGTGTAATACCCTATTCCCTGCAATGTTCAAATTGAATGCATTCAATGCCATAAGTTTTTAGCAACAATGTGCTTAAGTTGACTATATTCCCACAGAATCCAATTATCAAATCAAACTAAATTTTCATGTGATATCCATGATAATGGGGGACCTATCATATGAAAGTGTCCTTTGAAGGAACTGGCTACTTGATTAAATCAAAAAAATTACATGGCAATTATGGGTTAAATTGGTTTAACATCCAATTCCATAATAATAATTGTCTAACCAAGCTTCAAGAAGATGACTTCAAGATGATAGCAAAACTTCTATATAACTGCAATGTTTGGTGGATTCTATAGCAGTCACAGTAAAGAATCACACAAGAGGTGTGAATCTGGTTTAATTTACCAACTTTTAGGCAGAAGGCCATTCACTGTGATGTTTAATGCCTTCAGCAAGGCCTCACAAACTTATGGTTCTAAGTTATGTTCATCTTAAATAGAGAGGTGAAATATAACTCTGAGTAGTATATACAAGTTCTTTAAGTAGAAGGCTCATGCCACATCTAACACAAATTGAGGGCACTGTATGCCATGAGCCATGAAGGGATTTCAAAGCAGGACAAAAACCTATCCAATATTGTTTTTCTAACAATTGTGGAAGCTTTTCTAGCAATTGTGGAAGCATCACTGTGGAAGCTAACAGGAAAACCAGATCACACAAGCTTCCAAGAGTTGTATCAAAATCACTTTCTAGGGTCAATAAAGTATTGAGACAAATGTGGAGCCACTGTTTACTGTATCAATATTTTTTACTTATCTAAGAAAAGAGAAGTGGTCACCAAGAAAAACAATATTTTGACTGTTGGATGAAAAATTCATGTTACTCTTCTTACCTCAATGACAGTGCCTAGGTAATAGCAGCCATCTTTCCCTCTTGAGAGGACTTCATCTCCCACCATCAATATTTCCCGGCGACGACTGACTGAAGAACTATCTGGGCTGAGGCGGCTGTCATCTCGTTCCTTAATGTTTGATAGGGGGAATTGGTAAATTCAATTTCATTTACTAAATCAAGCAAACAATCAGAGAAGAGAATGAAATATGAGAAAGAGAGGGTAAAGGCCTCATTGTGAAGGAAATAAACTACTAGGTTCAAAAAGTTTCAAGACTTGGGTCACAGTCACCAAACTTTGCATTGTATACCAAAAACAAACATTTGTGCATGTTGCTAGGGTCCCACCCTGTTTGCTATCCATGAGATCATGTGCTGAGACTTAAGTGGCACTTACTATGTTGTGCCACATTCAACCCTTCAGGTGTCAGCTGGTGGTCAGCATCAAATTGGATATACCTCCACAACAACGCACCAGCACAGATCATTGATTTATCTTTTACTTGGCAGACACAGGCACAGTTCTAATGCCACATCCTCCTTCTCCCCCAGATCTTCACCATGCAACTCTTACTTTTACCCAAGGATGAAGAACCATGATGATGGCATCAAATGAGATTGCTAAAAACAGGTTCCAGTCCTGCTTCAAGGAAAATTACAGATGTTGGCAAAAGTGTGTAGCAAGCTTGGGCCACTACTTTGAAGGTGACACAGCAAAAATGCAATAAATCTCACGGTTGCATCAAGCCCAGTCTCAAAAATTTTTTAGCCAACCTTGTATATCGGCAGGTTACAAAGGATACAAAAAGTTAGAGCATTATGGGAATGAGAAGAGTTCTAACTGATAAATTACTGCCGTGAATAAGAATGATCATCATGAAACTTGTGCCATCATCTTACACAGGAGTCACTAAAAGTTGTTATATGCAGAGCTAGTGTATAAAAGATACATAACTCAATCAAGATAATAGATTGTAAAATCAGATAGCTCAGTCAAGAGGTAACAAAGAGTAATGATAAGATAATATCACCAATATTTCGACATAAAACCTTTAACGTAAGCAAGGAGTTGGAAGTATATGGATGGGGAAGAAGGATATGATGGAGAAACTGGGTTGGAGATAGGGAACATACCATAGGGAGTGGGATCTGGTATTCTTTTTGGGAAGGACAATAGAAAGTGACATGGGATAAAAAGGGCTTCCTGTTGCAAGAAAGACAAAGCCCCCCAACACCACTTTTTCCCTCCTTCCTTCTCTTCAATAGCAAAAAAGTTTTCTCTCTCCTGCTGCTCCAACTTTTCCTGGAATTTACATTGAAGAAACAGAAAGCCATTTATCAATTTTACTCCATTCCTGTTTTCTCTTGGTCTGCAACTCCTCACTACTTTGTAGAAACTCATTAACAACTTACAAGGATGTTTACATTGATAGCTCATTTGAAACATCTTACCTTCTTGCAATTCCTTGTCATTCGTGACATCCTTCCCTTGCCTTGAGGCCTACTCAAGTTGACCATATGCTCACTGGTCCAACATCATAACCAAGAAGTTTTCAGATTTCTCAGACTGACTTCTTGGAATGTTTACCCAAACTACAAAGCACTATAGCACTTTTCATCCAAGCCTAAGGGTCTTTCAGTCCAGATGAGCAGCCATCACCTGCAGGCAGAAAAGAATGATTATATTGTATAGATAAAAATATATTTTCATTCTAAAAAAACCACACGTAATCTTGATTGACCTTTCCAGCATGATTGATTCTTGAGGTAAGGATTACTTCACACGTGCAATCACTTATATGAATTTAAGCTGACAATCATCAACATCTGCCTAAACCCTGTAAGAAAGATATTGGTTCCTATTCCCTGCCACTAACATCATTTAACCACTACTTTCATGCGACTTAAGCTAAAGTAGGTTACCACCAGAAGAAGCAAGCTATCATCCTTTTCCTTTTTGCTGCTCAAGATGTTGGTAAAGGTCCTTAGCAGAGTAGGGGGAGATTCTATGATGGGAGGGATAAGATTCCCCTTTCCATCATCTCCTCTCCACATATTCCTTCAACTTTTTTAAAATTCACTTTCTGACATTCCTTTCCTGGAACGACTTTATAATACCTTAAAACAATTGCCTACTTGTCTGAAGTCCACATCAAGTTTAAACCAAGCTAGAGCCAGTTCATGAGTATAATTGATGGTTTTTTTACCTTGGCCAAAATTACATCATGTGTTACAGAGAATATGAATTGATTTCATTGATAGGCCTAAATTGCTGAATTCGTTTCGTAGGGCTGGGCGATTTCCAATATAAACCCATAAAATCCTAACGTTGTGTTTTCAAAGGGGTAGCCTGACCGTTAGGCCTGTTACCTTTGAGAACTGCAATCGTAGGACTACGTTTTCGGTTGAATAGGGTTTCCGATCTTACATAAGCTTAGGCCTCCGATGAAATCTGGATTGCGGTGGTAGGTCTTCGAATATAACCCGAAATGACAAGAAACGAATCCTCATGTTCCCCTATTGACCAAGTCATTTCGAATTTTCTGTATGCTTAGGCCTAGAGATCAAGTTACAATGTCACCTATTGGAAGCCCTGATCTAGGTTTAGCTCCTTGGTCTTGGGCTACGGTCTTCAAGGGCCACCAAGGGCCGAGGCTAGGCCTAACTTGGCACCGTACTAATGTTTCCAGTGGCGCAAAGCAGCTGAATCGGCGGATAGCGCCGAAAGCGGCCATGTCCCTCTTTCGAAACAGAGCTGTCAGAGAGGTTGGACTCATATGAGCGGAGATCACGATGATGATCATAATGATAATGGTGATGATGTTGAAGACCGATACCTACTTCCGTCACGACCTTCCCCCAAGTTTTATTTGGTTCCTCATACTTTATTTCACGAAGATCGCGGCTAAAGGATCGGCAAAATGAAACTACAAGTCACGGTTCACTGGGATTTGAAAACGGTCGCGGCCACGAACCCAGTGCACCATGACTTCTCGACGTTGGCTACTTTGGTTGATCCATCCCGCAAAATAACGAAGGGAAACCTGGTCTGCGACACTAGTTTCAAAATTATAATGGATAGATGGCGCACCCACAGTCGCTTCAAGGTTACTCAGAGTACCTGAACGAGCAATAACGACGTGGAACAACAATGACCAATGGTACTTTGGCAATGACAAATGGCAGAAGAGAAGTGAAAGGACGAAAACAGACCCACCCTTCTCTGCTAACCTTGCACAAAGAAACGAA